CATTTCCTCATTTGATAAGTAAACATTTCACATTTTGATACCACGTTTGTGAGAATATTTAATCACAAGTTCAGCTAGTGTTATGCCTTAAAATAATCACAAGGATTTTTAGTGTCCTTGTTAGTGTATTGAAATTAAAATGCACTATCCCAATTTGGGGGCTTTAAGAGTTACTGCCTGTAGAAGCTGCAGTCTTTAGAGAATTAATTTTCTCCAGGCACTATATTTGCAACTCTTACTAAATTACCTGGTTGCCTGGATATCTCCTTGGCCCAGATAGAAGAAAACCAACAATTTGCTCTTTTTCATAATCTTAAATCCAGAACCCACAAATAGAGTAATTGGTATGCAGATTCTTTGATGACTAGCTCTGCTCTTTGGAGAGCATGTTATGAATATTTTAGCCTTTTCTTTTAAACAGGTTAGATTTATTCCTCCTTTGACTTCCTCCCACCAATCAGTAAATAAGCAAAAGCAAATAAAATTTCAGTAAAATATCCAACAAATAAAGTGTTATACCTATTGCCAATGAAAGTAATAAAGAATGTGGATAGTGTTTACAGAGTATGCACAGAGGGCCTCTGAGAAATTAAAGAAGAATCCTGGGATTCTGTCAGGGGTATCCAATCTTTTGGATTCCCTGGGCCATACTGGAAGAAGAATAATCGTCTTGGGCCACACATAAAATACACTAACACGAATGATAGCTGATGAGCTAAATAAAAAAAAAATAAATAAAAGGGTCGTTGCATACATCTCATAATGTTTTAAGACAGTTTATGAATTTGTGTTGGGCCGCATTCAAAGCCGTCCTGGGCCAAGGGTTGGACAAGCTGGCTGTAATTACAACTGGATTGCAAAGGAGTTGCTCCTTGGCCCCGTTAATCCAGGGAGCCAGAACTCAAATCACTTCCTTCTGCTGAATCATCAAGCCCAAGTTAACAATTGAACACTGCATTCTGAACTGAAAGGTGTAAAGGTGAAAGCAAGTTTAAACAATCCCAATGATTTTTCTTTGTTAAATGGCAGAATCCAGCCAGTTGAGTATTTATGCTTTTGCAAAACCAGTTAACTGAATTCCAGGTATTTGTTCCAATTCAGAGTTGTTTTCATTGCACTTCATACTGAGTGGTTCTGTCAGTGTTTCTTCTGACACAGAAGTAGGGCCGGTGAACTGACTATCTGCCATCGATACAACTTGTTCTGCCAATGTCAAATTAGCCTTGAATCTGTCAATCCAAATTAATCAACAGTATTACTTTGGTGACAGGCAATTATATGTTTAATTAGTAAGTCATGCTTCTGGCACGAATATAGAGCTAGGGTTCTCAACTCTGGGCTGCAAAGCAAAATCAGGTAGCAGCTTTTTAAAAATACAGGTGCCTAACTTGTCCTAAGATGCTGATTCAGGAGATCTGGGGTAGGGCCCAAGTAACTATTTGGAAAAAGCTTTCCAAGTGACTCTGATGCAACAGGGGCAGAGACTGTCACAGAAGGTACTGATATAAATAATACATGATGGAAGGGGGTGGGGTCCGTACTTCTCCAACAAGGACAGGAGGCATTGTGTCAAGGACTATTCAAAGTGCAAAGATGATTTCACATCTTTCTTCTTTTTTCTTTTTGAGATAGGATCTCGCTCTGTCACTCAGGCTGGAGTGCAGTGGTGCAATCTTGGTTTACTGCAACCTCTACCTCCCTGGCTCAAGTGATCCTCCCACCTCAGCCTCCTGAAGAGCTGGGATTACAGGCATGTGCCACCACACCCGGATAATTTTTGTATTTTAGTAGAGATGGGGTTTCACCATGTTGGCCAGGCTGGTCTCGAACTCCTGATCTCAAATGATCTGCCCAGCTTGGCCTCTCAAAGTGCTGGGATTACAGGCATGAGCTATTGTGCCCAGCCCATTTCACATCTTTCTGGAATGTCAATTTTACTTGACAGGTAAGCAGTTTAAAACGTCATTTTTATTTTGGGTAGTGATTTCATAGGTATGTATAGATATATATATAAAACTGTCAAAACTCATCTGACTAACATTTAAGATCTGGGCATTGAATTTTATCCTTATTATAACTTAAAAAATGTCATTTTAAAGTTAAAATATGGATACATTCTAGATAGAATGCAAAATCTGCATTTTCTTTTTAGATATACTTTGAGACTTGAAAGAAGTCACCCTCTTAGATGGGTCCCTGATATAGTTTGGTTGTGTCCCCACTCAAATCTCATCTTGAATTATAGCTCCCATAATCCCCACATATGAGTGGTACCTGGTGGGAGGTAACTGAATCATGGGGGACGGTTTTTCCCATGCTGTTCTTGTGATCAAGTTGTGATGGTTTTATAAATGGGAGTTTCCCTGCACACACCCTTGCCTGTTGCCATGTAAGACGTGCCTTTACTCCTCCTTAATTTTCCACCATGATTGTGACGTCTCTCCAGCCATGTGGAACTGTGAATCTATTAAACCTCTTTTTCTTTATAAATTACCCAGTTTGGGATATTTCTTCATAGCAGTATGAAAATGGACTAACACAGAAAATTGGTAATGCAGAGAGTGGGGCACTGCTGTAAAGACAGCCGAAACTGTGGAAACAACTTTGGAACTGGGTAACTGGCAGAGGTTGGAACAGTTTGGAGGGCTCAGAAGACAGGGAAATGTGGGAAAGTCTGGAACTTCCTAGAGACTTGGAGAGCTCAGAAGACAGGAAAATGTGGGAAAGTTTGGAACCTCCTAGAGACTTATTGAATGGCTTTGACCAAAATGCTGATAGTGATACGGACAATAAAATTCAGGCTGAGGTGGTTTCTGATGGAGATGAGGAACTTATTCAGAATTGGAGTAAAGGTTACTCTTGCTATGCAAAGAGACTAGTGGCATTTTGCCCCTGCCCTAGAGATCTGTGGAACTTTGAACTTGAGAGAGATGATTTAGGGTGTCTGGCAGAAGAAATTTCTAAATGGCAAAGTGTTCCAGAGGAAGCAGAGCATACAAATTTGAAAAATTTGCAGACTAATGATGCAGTAGAAAATAAAAACCCATTTTCTAGGGAGAAATTCAAGCTGGCAGCAGAAATTTGCATAAGTAATAAGGAGCCAACTATTAATCACCAAGACAATGGGGGAAATGTCTCCAAGGCATGTCAGAGACCTTCACAGCAGGCCCTCCCATCACAGGCCCAGAAACCTAGAAGGAAAAATGGTTTCATGGGTCAGGTCCAGGGTCCCCCTGCTGTGTGTAGCCTAGGAACTTGGTGTCCTGCATCCCAGCCATGCCAGCCATGGCTAAAAGGGGTCAATGTACAGCTCAGGCCTGGCTTCAGAGGGTGCAAACCTGAAGCCCTGGCAGCTTCCACATGGTGTTGAGCCTGCAGGTGCACAGAAGTCAAAAATTGAGGTTTGGGAACCTCTGCCTAGATTTCAGAGGATGTATAGAAATGCCTGGATGCCCAGGTAGAAGCTTGCTGCAGGGGTAGAGACCTCATAGAGAATCTCTGCTAGGGCAGTGTGGGAGGGAAATGTGGGGTGGGAGCCCCCATACAGAGTCCCTACTGCTGCACTGCCTAGTGGAACTGTGAGAAGGGGGCCACCATACTCCAGACCCCAGAATGGTAGATCCACTGACTGCTTGCATCACGTGCCTAGAGGTGCAGGCACTCAATATCAGCTTGTGAAAGCAGCTGCGAGTGGGAGCTGTAGCCTGTAAAGCCACAGGGGCAGAGCTGCCCAAGGCTGTGGGAGCCCAGCTCTTGCATCAGCATGATCTGGATGTGAGACACGAGGTCAAAGGAGATCATCATAGAGCTTTAATATTTGACTGCCCTGCTAGATTTTGGACTTGCATGGGGCCTTTAGCCCCTTTGTTTTGGCCAATTTCTCCCATTTGGAACAGGTATATTTACCCCACACCTGTACCCCATTGTATCTAGGAAGTAACTAGCTTGCTTTTGATTTTATAGGCTCATAGGCGGAAGGGACTTGCCTTGTCTCAGATGAGACTCTGGACTGTGGACTTTCGAGTTAATGCTGAAATGAGTTAAGACTTTGGGGGACTGTTGGGAAGGCATGATTGGTTTTGAAATGTGAGGATATGATATTTGGGAGGGACCGGGGCAGAATGGTTTGGCTGTGTCCTCACCCAAATCTCATCTTGAATTATAGCTCCCATAATCCCCACATGTGGTGAGAGGGACCCAGTGGGAAGTAACTGAATCATGGGGAGGGGTTTTTCCCATGCTGTTCTTACGATAGTAAGTCTCATGAGATCTGATGGTTTTATAAAGGGCAGTTCCCCTGCACACGCTCTCTTGCCTGCCACCATGTAAGACATGCCTTTGCTCCTCCTTCACCTTCTGCCATGATTTTGAGGCCTCCGCAGCCATTTGGAACTGTGAGACCATTAAATCTCTTTTTCTTTATAAATTACCCAGTTTGGGGTATTTCTTTATAGTAGTATGAAAATGAACTAACACAGTCCCCATATGCAGGGAGGCAACCACTTCACTCTCCTCGGCTTGGGGTGGGGTTGAGGGGTTGAGAAAAAGAGGGGAAGAGCTTTTGAAAATACCCGGGACTAGAGTTTGAAAATGTCCGGGTTTAGTAATCCTTTCACTTCCAGTGCTTCTCATTCATTTCACTACCCATGACCCACCCCCCTCTCATCTCTTTACTGTCCACTTATCACTGGTCTTTTTGCTTAAAATGACTCCAAATCCTCAAAAAATTAAAGTTCCACTGTTTATTATAATTGGGAATTTTATGTTTATTGTCATTGAACAGAGGATCTAATGACACTAAGGCAGTAGTTTCAGATATTGCACATTGCAAACGATTTTCACACAAAAATGTTTTAAAAGGCTACCGGGTGCAGGGCTGGTTGTAGGTAGGGACCCAACCTAGAATTATGAAACGCCATAGTTCCTAACTTTGGAAAGAGACGAGCGGAAAGTAATATGAATTAGTAGCAACGGCTGGAGAAAACAGTGCTCTCTACTACCTTCAAGGTGCCCTACTTCATCGCTTGGGACCCAACGGCTGAATAGTGGGTAGGAAACAGGATTCAGGGTCTCAAGCACGGTCTGGATCTACCGACTCTCACCGTCATTTTAACTCTCGCTGGGGTACACATCTGCTTCTGGATTTTAGTAACGTGTGTTACAATCATTTAAGGACTATAAAACCACAAGATTATGAGAGCGTAAACCACAAAGCGTGTAAGTAAATGTGCAGAAAACGCAAGGCGGTAGCACAGCAGCAAGGAACAAAGCCAAGAACCCCAACCAGACAAGCGCGCCGCGCTTTCCGGCTCCCGGCAGCCTTTGCGCAGCCCTCCCGCAGCCCCCTGGTCGGCCGGGGGCGGGGTCTGGGCCGCACGCCGGCACCACGCCCATTCCGCTCCGCGTCGCGTCGCGCCGCACCGCGCCCCCTCCGCACCTGCTCTTAGCGCGCCTTCCGCCCCGAATATGCGCATGCGCTACTCTCCCTTTACAGCCCCGAAAACGCTCCGGCTGGCCGACTCCAAGACAATGGCGAGAGGCCTCACAGCGCGGCTTCTTACTGCTTTGCATAGGCAGCAGTCTCCTGCTAGTCCCGCCTCCCTCTGGCACTCTGGCGCGCAAATGGAGGAGCCGGGAAGAGAGCGCAGTTCTGATTGGAGAACGCGCGTGTTTACATTCTCACCTCTCCCGGGGAGTGGACGAATTTAGACCGCCTCTTCCTTCCCGTTCTTTAAGAGAATTGGTTGCCCTCCTGTCCGTCAGAGGTGCAGTCCCACAGGGGGCGTGCCGCCGTTTTCGCGTTTGCCTCGCTGGGTGACTCCGCTTGTTTGTCGGCTGCATGAGTGCCTAGAGGTTTTCGGTGGAAGATGTCGGACAGTAACTTCGCAGAGCGCAGCGAGGAGCAGGTGTCTGGTGCTAAAGTCATCGCCCAGGCCCTGAAAACGCAAGTACGATGGACCTTCCTGGAATGAAACGCTCCTACGGAAGCTGGCGGAGACCGCAGTGTTGTCTCGGAGACGAGTAGAAATGGGCGATGGGAGTCGGGGGTTTTCTTTTTAGCGTCCGGGAGGGAGGGAAGGATGTGGCGATGTGGTGGGGCCGTGGGAGATTACTCTCTTGTTCTTCGTCCCTCAGGATGTGGAGTACGTATTTGGAATCGTAGGCATCCCAGTGACCGAAATTGCCATTGCTGCCCAGCAGCTAGGCATCAAGTACATCGGGATGAGGAATGAGCAAGCGGTGAGTATGGACGCAGGTGTCTGAATCCGTTACTGGGAATGATCAATAATAGCGATAGGTATGCATTGCAAACACTCAGATAGCGCTTACCACTCTTCTGCTGCTTTACACATATATCAGTCACTGTTGAATATTAACTGTTGTTATACCTAGTTGACAGTTGAGAAAAGACACAGGTTAAGTAAAACTTGCCTTTGGTGACACAGCTGGTAGTAGCAGAGCCAGGATTTGAACCTACGTATTCTGGGTCTGAGTCCATGCTCTTACTACCATACTGTATGTCATGATTGGAAGAGACAGTTTATGAGTAAAGTCTGATTTCCTTATTAGGCTACAAGCTCCATTAGAGCGGGGATATTATTTCTTCACGACACGTCTGGTACCCCCAGTGCTTAGTGTGATGCCTGCATAAGCAAGGTGTTCAGAGGTTACCTGTGGGATAAATGAGTGAAGGCCAAGTCTTTGTTGTATGATCGGTTCGGGGCAGGGTGGAGGATATCACAAATGGTAAAGCCTTAATGGAAACTCAGATGTCTCAGATCCTAGCCTGACGCTCTTTCCACCACATCATGCTGCCACCTTTCTTAGAGGCTTACTTGGAAGCAGGATAAGGAAGGTACGACATTTTGTCAATCCACTTTTAAGTGCATCAATCCAACCTTGCCCTTCTCTCAGTAGTGCTGGCTTAAAAGATCAAGAATCCACTTCTGTGATATCACATACTGTCAGTCCAGCTGAGGCTAAGTATTCCTGCTCTACACTCCCACTGTTGCTTTCTAATTTAGATTCTTGCCTCCTCTTGCCCAAACAGCTGCCTGGCCGCCCTAAATGGTGCCTTTTGCCATCATACGTGAGTGCATGGAGGGCAGAAGTTGTGGTTCATTTGTTATATCACCACAGTGCCTGGCTTGGTTGGTGCTTTCACATGGTGTGGATGCTTAATATTATGCATTATTTATTAATTGAATGACATTCTTTATCTACAAGGTTTGAGATTTGTATTTTTTATCTTAAAACTAGCAAGTCTTGAGTTTCTGTTGCTTCTACATTTTACTTGTCTTTGTTAGAACAACATTCTGTTCTTTCATCTGTGTGAAAAAATGAAGCTGTTGACCTATGAATGGAACCTATATTTAACTCTTTTTGTAGAGATGACGTATCTGCTACTGATTTCTTTATACAGCAAACATTTATTGACTAAATATTGTATACTAAGGATTGTGCTACATAACCTGTAGGGGAGAGGGATGTAAAGGAGGAGTGAGGTTTAGTCTTGATCTTCAAGTTGATCAGTCTTGGAAGGTTAGGGTAAGACTTACAGAAAAAAACTCATCTATTGTAACTCTCACAATAGATGTAGTAGCACAGAAGGGATGACTGGTTCTCTTTGAGGACAGAGAAGATTGCCTGTAGAGGTAATGTTAGTTCATGTGGTTCCATCGAGGTAGGTAAAGGCATGGTGAGCTGTGAGACGGGTAGGTAGGTTGAGGTTATGTTGTGGAGAATCTAAAAAGAATTTGAACTTTTTTTTTTTTTAACAATAGGCAATGGGGGAGACTAAAGGTTTTTCTAAACAGGTGGGAGATGTAATTAGGCTTGTATTTCAGAAAGATGATGCCAGGCATGGTTGTACATGCCAGTAATCCCAGCTACTTAGGAGGCTGAGGCAGGAGGATTACTCAAGTCCAGGAATTAGAGGCTGCCTGGGCAGCATAGCATGACCTCTGTCTCTAAGTTTTATTTCAGCCCCTATAAGCTTAATTGAGAGTTCTTTAGGTCCCATGTGCTGTGTTGGGTGTTGGATACAGAGATGAATGATAGTTCCTGGCTTTAAGGGGCTTACAGCCAAGCTGTGGAGACAGACACAAACAATTGTGTTATAAGGTGGTAAGTGCTGTGATAGAGAGATACCTAGGGTGCTATAAAGCCCAGAGAAGGAGTACCCAGGCTCAGCTTCCCACAGGAGATGATATCTGTGCTGTCCAGAAGGATAAGTAGTCATTAACCAGTTAGGAAGGAGGAGGCAGGCTCCTCTGGACATGATTCCTAGATTTTGGGCTTGCTTGATTGTGTGGATCTTACTGTCTGTGACTGAGACTGGGAATATAGAGGGAAGATCCAGTTTGGAGGAGAAAGGTGATGTTCAGTTTTGAACACATGCATTTGAGATGTTGGTGGAACATCCCAGTAGATGTGTCCCTCAAGCAGCCTGACTCTGTGGTAGTCAGAGGAAAACTTAAATGGTGCCTGAACTAAGGGTAGTGACAGAATGATTCAGAGGGAACATGAAAACAGGCTAAGAGGGAACATGAAAACAGGAGCATGTTTGTGCTAAAGAGAAAGATGTAGTTTGGGGTGACTTGATTGTCTTTGATTAGATCCATAGAGTAATCAAGACATACTGACCAATTGGTCAGCAAGTAGGCAGATTGTCAGCAGGTTCATTGTTCTTGAGAGCTTACTGTGTGTGGGCACTATTCTGAGTGTTTTACATATATGAACTGATTTCATCCTCACAGCAGTGCTTTGAATTATTTTCATTTTATGGATGAGGAAACAGAGATGTAGAGCAACTTGCCAAAATTACACAGTAGAAAGTAGGGAAGCTGGGATTTAAATCAAAACAGATTGGCTCCAGAGTCAGCTCTCTAAGTACCATGTACACTGCTCTGCCTGTGAATGGAGGTAGTTTAGTAGAGGAACAGATGTTTTATGGTCATAAAACCGGTTACGGCCAGGCGCGGTGGCTCATGCCTGTAATCTCAGCACTTTGGGAGGCCAAGGTGGGTGGATCACCTGAGGTCAGGAGTTTGAGACCAGCCTGACCAACATGGAGAAACCCTGTTTCTACTAAAAATACAAAATTAGCTGGCTGTGGTGACGCATGTTTGTAATACCAGCTACTCGGGAAGCTGAGGCAGGAGAATTGCTTGAACCTGGGAGGTGGAGGTTGCTGTGAGCCAATATTGCGCCATTGCACTCCAGCCTGGGCAACAAGAGCGAAACTGCGTCTCAAAAAAGAAAAACAAAACTGTTACCTCTCAACTTTTGACATTTCCTACCAGAGGAATATACTTTTTGTTACATGTTGTATGTTTTGCATTGCCTAGCAACATTTCTTACCTAGCTATCATAAGTGGGCAATTCTTTTGGGTGTCTAAATAAAGTGTTCTTATTGCAGCAGGTATTTACATGCCTGCATTTCTTAGGAGTTGTCTTATTCTTCTAATGTGAATTTGGCCTTATGTGCAAAAGGGAAGAGAGACAGGACCAGTAGAGAATAGCAACACAGGAGAAGAGCAACGCCTTTTGTGCAGGTTCTCCGTGGGTATATGATAGTAGAGACAGTTGAGATTGTGATCCATAAACATTTCCTTTCTGTTTTTTTTTTTACATTTATGTTCTTAATGTGGATTTCTTTAAGACAGTATACTACTTCATTTAAAGCTGAGTGAAGGCTAGGAAATACACAATCTATTGTTATTTCTAAAGAAATGAGAAGAAATAATACTGGGAAAAAAATGATGTCACAAACTAAGAAGAAGAATTTGAGAGAGCACTCAGCATTTTCCCAGGTTATCTTGTGTGCATTTAATTTAGTGCCCCCTCTCTTCCTGATTATGAGCTGAAGTAGAGTTACAAGGTAAAAACTATCCATATGCAGGCCATAAAGGAAATCTCAATAAATTGCCAAGGATTGAAAGCTTGCAGTATGTGTGACCTGACCATGTGGAAGTAAAGTGGAACTCGGTAACAGATCACTGAGAAGAATCTCAAACATTTGGAAATTAAGCAACATAGTTTTTGGTATTGTGTAAATATTTGAAAAGATTAACAAGATGAATAAACTTCAAGATAGACTGATTGAGAATAAAAGAGAAAACAGATTACCAATGTCAGGAATAAAAAAGGAGATATCACTACAGATCCTAATTAGCCTGTAGGTTGAAGAAGAAATCACTATGGAAAGTAGAAAATATTTTGAATAGAATGATAATGAAAAGATGCAATCTCAAACTTGTAACCTATAACTAAAGCAGTTCTTAGACGGAATCATTTTAAACAAATCTATTAGTAAAGAAAATTAAAAACCAGTGTTCTAAA